TACAATTTATGCTTACATGTATAATTCCAGACTTTTTTATTACAAAAACCATGTATTATTTTATAATTCAAGAGTTAAACTTTGGGCATATGTCACTGGACTCCTGTGGCCGACTACGGTTTAAGTCCCAAATCTTATGACTTGAAATTCATACTGGGCACATGTGCGTGTGTGTCCAGGATTCTGGGAAGAGAATGGAGGATATGGGATTGTGGCACGGCCATCCTCTGTGGGGGGTGATTTCTCACTTTCCCTCTCACTGTTTCTGTCTCTCTCTGGCAAGAACACATGCTCTAAGGCAAAGTCCCTCTTTAAAAAAAAAAAAAATTAAGATATCTGGGACTAGCAAGTGGTGTGGTGGTTAAAGAGTTGGATTCCCACACAGCCAAACACACTATGAGTCCTGGACCTGGTGGCTTGAAACTCGTGCAGGGTGTATGTGTATGAGTGTCCACGTCCCAAGAGGAGAATAGAGGAGAAGGGATTGTGGCACGGCCATTCCCCCTGGGGGTGATTTCTTACCTTCCTTCTCTGTCTCCCTCTGTCTCTCTGGAGAGTGTACATGCCCTAAAATAAAAATCTTAACAAAGTTAGGAAATCTGCTATTTTAAGATATAACCTTTTTAAAAATGATTTTATTTAACTTTGTTTATTTATTTTATTTTATTTGACCAGAGAAGGACAAAGTAAGAGAGCGAAAGGAAAAGTGAGAAAGCAAGTCACCAGATCTGAGACTGAAACTGCGGTTGGCCATGTGGGAGTCCAGTGCCCTGAACCACCATGCCACCTGTTGGCCCTTTAAGATATTACCATTTAAGTAGTCAACCTTTGGCTCATATTCATACACTTTACATGAAAATTCAAAGCATATTTAAAATTTTTGAAAAAAAAATTTATTCATTGTCATTATTTTATTTGATTATTATTTTTAAAGTTGACCAGATATAACTCAATTCGAAGAACACAAAAACAGGAAAGTAGGGGAGGAACAAACAGTAAGTTCATCACCTGCTTTGTGTCTGTCTCTCTATTCACGAAAGTGTAAAGATGATGGTAAGTAGAACTATTGGTTTTCAATGAAGAAATTTTCTTCACTTCAATGTTCTGGATAATGGAACATAAAAAATAGGTAGTTAGATTAAAGCACTAATTTTCATTTAAAGCTGGATCCAATGCAAAATATATATTACATATATATTAACCAGTTATCTTTATTTAGGATGAACTAAAATCCTGGTCACAAAGAAATAAGCCTTAATTTTTCAGAGTTAAACTTTAACAGAAGCACAGACTCATTAGTACTTCGATACATCTTCAGGTGTCATTAATCAATGTATTTTACTCACTAGACTTTCTAAATTAGTTAAAAAGACACTTCTCTTTCAACTTACCGACTATAAGACGCTTATAGGACATGTCAAATCAAATTATAGGCACTTCCCTGTACTTACAGGAAAACAATATACACCACCATGTCCTATTCCATATCTAATCATAAAAATTCTACTGCAGCTCACACCAGTCTTAGTCCTTTCAGTGTTCAATGATGTATTCAGTTTTGGTCCTGAAACATTAGCCAATAAATTATACTTATTCCAAAACAAAACAATACTCAAAAGGATGACATAAACTACTTTTCCTTTCCTTTCTCTACATTTTGTCATAAAAGCAGATTCAGTTCATCAGAATTTATTATGCAGTGGTATCTAATTAAAGCAACCAAACAAGGAATTTCTTCAGTGCCTTCTTCAGTGCATATGTTAAACCTTATGCTAGGCATTGTGAATGACACTGAAAAGTAAAATAAATTAATGGCCCCTGCCTTCAAGTAATATTTCTAATAACATTATGTACTAGTCGTTAGATAAAAACAAAATAAGGCATGCATTGTATATATACCGTGATGAGAAGAATACACACGATGAAATGCTAACTCTTCCGCTGAGTCTCTTCCGTACTTAAACAAGCTGGGAAACCTTAGCAAAGTCCCTCACTGCTCTGTCCTTCAGCATTCTCAAGAAAAGTAAGTACACAGTAATACCCTTATCCGATGGTCATGGCAGTTACTGTGAGAACCCAATAAAGTATAAGAAAGAACTTGAAAAAAAATTTTATTCATTGTCATTATTTTATTTGATTATTATTTTTAAAGTTGACCAGAGAGAGAGAGACAGAGAGAAAGGGAAAGTGTGAAAGCAAGCTGCCAGGTTCGGGACTTGAATCGTAGTCAGTCATGTGGGAGTCCAGTCACCTCAACCACCATACCACCTGCCGGCCCTAAGAAAAATCTTTTAACACACCAGACATTTGTGCGTGTGTGAATCCCAAGAGAAGAACAGAGAAGTGACTGTAGCATGGTCATCCCCCTGAGGTGGAGCTTTCTCACTTTCTCTCTTTCTCTCCAATGAGTGCATGTGCCTTGTAGCAAATTTTAAAAGTAAAAAATAATAAAATTACAAAGGATAGTTTCCCCACTAATGAACACATTAGTTGGTTAATATTATAATTAAAATTCACAATACATATCACTTTAATAAACAGATGTCACAAAATAAAAATTCAGAGATGGTAAAACACATTAAAGAAGAATCTTTCACTTTCTTTTTTTAGCTTGCCTTATAGAACATACATTTGAAGTACAGAGACAGGGAGAGCGAAAGTGAGAAAACACCCCTCAGGGGGGTGGCTATGCTGCAATCCCTTCTCTTCTACTCTCCTCCCAGATTCTTGGGCATGCACGCACATGTGCCCAGCATGAGTTTCAAGCCACTGGGTTTGGGATTCGAACTGTGGTCGGCCATGTGGGAGTCCAGTGACATAACCACTATGCCATTTGATGGCTCCAAGAATCTTTCACTTCCTAAAAGAACCTTAGTAGCTCTTGCTCAACACCTTGAAAAATTCATCAATAAGCTTCTTGACAAAGAATGGAAGAACGCTGAGAAAAAAAAAACACATTATGTAATTTACTATAAAAATGTAATTAAAATATACACAACTTTCAAGTACCAGTATTGTACTTCCAAAATAAAGGCTACTTATAGATTGAATTTGGTATTTCTTTTAAAACTGAAGTCACAGTTTTAAGATTTAAATGATCACCAATCCTTGGGCTGGCCACATAGTACAGCAATTAAGCACTACACATTAGGAGCTGAGCTGACGTGGGCAACTGGGTAAGTATGGGTGTGTGCCCAAATCCTTATGGGGTGGAGAAATGGAGGAAAAAGGATTGCGGCCTGACTGTGCCCCATTAGGAGGTGCCCTCTCTCTAGCAGGTGCGCACATCATCAGGCAATTAAAAAGAATCACCACCAACCTCTTTCGATTATAAAAAGATTTCCAGTGAACTGCACTTACATTTTCAGTGAAATCAGTCCATAGGCTGGAAGAGTTAGGATGACCTGTGAGTGACTGAGTCACCCTATCTTGGGTCAGTAGGTGGAATGATGGTTAAGGTGCTGGATTCCCTATGGCTACCTTTATGGTTTGAGTTCTGATCCCAGTGGCTTTAAAATCACATTGGGCCCATGTACATGTATGCCCAAAATCCTGAGAGGAGAATGGAGGAGAAGGGAGTGCAGTGTGACCATCCCCCCAAAGGGGTGTATATGTATGATTTCTCACTTCCCCTCTCTGTCTCTTATCTGCTCTGGGCAGTACATGAGCCCTACAGTAAAAACTTTAAAACAAAACAAAAAAACACCATCTACTCCCTAATAGGCACTCTGGCTTCTATCCCTGGTTTTCCACCACAGTAACTAATGTCACCTACCCAGTATGGGCCAAACCAAGCACTCTGTGGTACCTAAGATTGGTTTGTACAGCCAAGGATAAAGAATAGGGGGAAAAAAAAAGGATACAATAAAAATAAGTTAACTATAAATAAAAGCTGATTTTCTCTTGCATCTGGTAAACCATACCTAAATGCAATGTCAAAAAGATAAAATAATATATATACAAATATATTTTAAGTTTTTGGTATAGGGCACATGTGCTTGCCAGAGAGAAACAGAGAGAAAGGAAAGATAAATCAACCCCCAGGGGAATGGACATGCCACAGTTCCTTCTCCACTCTCCCCTCAGGATTTTGGGCATGTGTGCACATGCACCTGTCCTGATTTGCAAGCCACCGGGTCCAGGAATGTGGCAAGCCACCGGGTCCAGGAAGGCCTAGCCAGCTAAAGTGGGATCCGGCGCCTTAACCTCCATGTCACCTGCTGGACCCCATTGCTCTTAGATTTATAACTTTGAACGCAAGAGCTTTCACATGCATACACAGTGTAAGTATAAATCCACCATACTCTTTCTGAGAGGTTTTTGCTATAGGGCACATGCGCTCACTGAAGAGACAGAAAGTGAAAGATCACCCCCTAGAGGGGATGTGCACACTGCAATTCCTTCTCCTCCAGTCTCCTCCTGGGATTTTGGGAATGCACGCACGTTCACAAGCCTGGCCTGAGTTTTAAGCCACTAGGTCTGGGACTCAAACCGCAGTCGGCCACATGGGAGTCCAGCGACGTAACCATTATGTCATCCACTGGTCCCACTATATTCTTCTCTTATTTCTAAATTTTTCATAATTAAAAGCAGAGGAAATAAAATAGACCCATACACTATACCTATCAAAGCATTTGTAGACTATTTTTAGATTTTTATAAATTTTCGACCTTGGCCTGTTATGAACATTAGGAATTATGACAAAGATGATCAAAAGGCATCAGGGGGTCCAGTAATGACAGTGCAGGTGGTGGTGGGGCTGGAGCCAGGTGGGGAGGTTTTGGGTTTGGGTACACTGGGCAAGCCCAGCACACTGCCTAGCTTTTTATCATCTCCCGTGGTACTGAGGGAGTGGCTGAAATAGGACTCTTCATCTGAATCCTGGACAAATGCTACGTGGCAGATGGCTCAACACGCAGCAGGAAGGCTGACAAAATGAAATCAGGTAGAATAACTGGTACTCAAGTTGATCACGTATACATAAAATATGCTCGTATACATTTACAACTAAATTAAATGTCTTTTTTTTTTTTTTTTGAGAGGCTTTTGCGATAAGAGGCATGCGCTCGCCAGAAAGACAGAGAGACAGAAAGCGAGAAATCACTCCCCAGGGGGGATGGCCATGCCGCAATCCCTTCTCCTCCATTCTCCTCTCAGGATCTTGGGCACGCATGCACACGCGCCCAACGTGAGTTTAAGCCGCCAGGTCCGGGACGCGAACACGGTTGACAACATGGGAGTCCAGTGACATAGCCATTGCACTAACTGCTGGTACCAACGTCTCTTTCAGTAACCACAATAACCTAATATAATGAGTAAGAGAACCCATAGTTCTTAAAATTAATTTCCACTTTAGTTAAAATATTAAAAATGTTTTCTTGGAGCCAGCAGGTGGTACAGTGGTTATGGCATTGGACTCCCACATGGCCTGAGTGTTGTTTGAATATTGGACCTAGTGGCTTGAAAACCACAGTGGGGGTGTGTGTGTACGTGAAAACCATACTGGGGGGGGTGTGTGTGTACGTGCCTGAAATCCCAGGATGAGAATAGAGAAGAAACTGCAGCATAGCCAACTCCCTTGGGAGTTAATTTCTTACTTTCCCTCTCAATGTCTTTCTCCTCTTCAGTGAGCACACCCACCCTGTGGCAAAAACACTGTTTTCTTAAAAATGAGCTCCAAATCTCAAAACTACGCATTTTAAAACCATAAAGAAACAGACCTCTCTGCTTACTTTATAGCCTTGTGCAAATTTAGTAACTTATCTGAACCTTAATTTACATACAAAATGGCAACTATTATGAGCCAAATACAGCATGCAGAAGTCTGTAAGAAAAATAATCCAATTTTTTCAATAAATAAAAGACATGGGAAAAAAAGAGGGCAGAACTACTACTAGTTTTTCAAAAACCAAAACCATTACAGATTTTCTAAAAATACATATTTTTTATTTACCAGAGGACACATGCACTCACTGGAGACAAAGAGAGAGAAAGAGGACACATCCTACGGGGATGGTCATATCATAATTCTTTCTCCTCCATTTCTTCCTCCTTTTGGGAGTTTGGGTATACATTCCCACACATCCAGAGTGTACTTCAAGCTGCTGGGTCTGGGACTTGAACCGTTCAGTGGGTCATGTGGGATTAAATTTCCTTAATCACCACCCTAACAGCTGGCCCCCATTACAGCTTTTTAAATAAAAATAACTTTTTTGAGATCACTAGGGAAAACTGAACACTTATTAGGTGTTAGATGACATTGAGAACAATGTAAATATCATGTTTGTTTGTTTTTAAAGATTCTTACACATCAGAGATACATACTAAAGTATTTACTGAAGATGAAATGGTATCTAGAACTACTTGAAAATACTCCAGATATACTAGTGTTACTTGCACAGTTGAAAATTAAGTTTAAGCCAATAAGAATTATTTTGACTTCCACTGAATGTTAATAGTAAGGAGTGATGACAACTTCTTCTTCTCAACAATCAAATTTACCTCAAAAAGAGGTGGAGGAGGAGCTGGCAGACTTGTGATCTTGGCAGACCGTTCCTTTTCTGTAAGCAGTGCCTCCTTTCGAGCTTTTATATGCCTTAAACATCAAAAGACATTATTAGTTAATCTCTCAGGTAGTATCTCAGAGTTGAAAACACAAAAACCACGAAATGTCTAGGAATCCTCCAGCTGAGCCCCCAGGCTCACTGTGCTACTTACTGGTCCACACACAGTGGACATATAAGAAAATGACAGAGCAGTACATCTTAAGACAGAAAAGAAAGTTCTACAGCAGATGCCAAGTCAACAGACACCTAATGTTCTTTAGAATAGTCTGGAGAGAAAAAATGCTGACAAACATTAAACATTAGCCACTACATAAAATGACCACTGCTAACTAAAACAGGCTCTTTCTAAAAAAAAAATTATTTATTTAATTTTATTTGCTATTATTGTTTTTTAATTTGACCAGAAAGAGACAGAGAGAGAGAAAGGAAAAGTGAGAAAGCAAACCACCAGGTCTGGGACTCCAACCATGTTTGGCCATGTGGATGTCCAGCATCATAACTACTAAGCCACCTGCTGGTCCCATAGAACAGACTCTTTCATTTTTACAGCATGCCCAAAATACTCAGTTCTAACTTCTACAGAATCCACAAACTTTTAATTTTGATTTTTCTTTTTTACATTAGAGGCAGATTTTGGTTGACATGCATACTAAGCCAGCCATACATTTATTCAAAAACGTTGTAACTGCTGATAAATTTAGAATGTTCAAACTATAATGAGAAGAGAAAGCTCATTTGTTACTATGTTAACCTAAGCAAACCAGCTCCCCACTGCATTGTTTTTAAACCAAGTCTCAAAAATGTAATGGATAAACTATCTGACTTCTGCACTGTATCCTATGTATCCTCTGTTTCTAGTCTTGTCAGTTTCAGTTGAGAATACAATAAAAATCACTAATTTACCGTGTTTTTTGTTTCATTAATAGTTCCTTCTGACTTTTCTGTACTTTCAGGGCTTCTTTATGTCTCAAGTCTGCTTTTCTTTTCCTTTCTGCTGCCCGCTGTGCCAGAGCATCCAAATCAGGTTCCTAAAAACATATATTACTTAAAATGTTATATTAAACAAAATGAACAGAAATGTATCTTATATGGCACCAGAACATAAGTGTCTTTTCAATTTTGCCATTTCCTACATAATATGGCAGTGCTTTCCAAAGCAAAGGAATGGTATTGTCTGATATGGTACCATAAGCCAGCTTAGAGGGAACAAACAAAACTTTTATTTTTCATAGAGATTTTTGCAATAGGGCACATATGCTCACCAGGGAAATAGAGACAGAGAGATAGAAAGTGAGACACCATCCCCTACCCCTAGGGAGATGGCCATACCACAATCCCTTCTTCATTCTTCTCAAGGGATTTTGGGTACTTTACGCACATGCGCCCGGTGAGTTTCAAGCCACTGGGTCAGGGACTTGAACCACTGTTGGCCATATGGGAGTTCAGTGCCTCAACTATTACGTCACTTGCCAGCCCCACAAATATAAACGTTTTAACTTAAGGTTAATGTAATCACTTAACAGATTTATAGAGAAATTTAAATAAAATATCAATGATAGGATAAGGTTAAATTAATAAAAGAAAATACCCTGTTTAAATTAAAATGCCAAGAGTCAGCCCTGTAGTGCAGTAAGTAAGCCCTGTGCATAGGAAGTCAGCTCCCACGGGGCCAACTGCCCAGTTTTGGTACTCTAATGACTGAGGTTTGGGAGATGCTGCATTAAAGCGTGAAGTTAATGGTACACACAGAGCAAGATAAATCTCTTCCTGGGAAAGAAACCTAGTAGTACTCACAAATTATATTAAGTTGATTAAAAAAGCGTAGGTTGTCCAAAATAAATTCTATACATGATAACATTTTTATCAGATAAACATTCAAAAGCTATTCTTTACTTTTTTGGGGGAGAGATTTTTGCTATAGGGCGTGTACACTTGCCAGAAAGACAAAGAGAGACAGAGACAGAAAGCGAGAAATCATCCCGGGGGGATGGCCATGACACAATCCCCTCTCCTCTATTCTCCTCTCGTGATCTTGGGCACGCATGCACAGGTGCCTGGCGTGAGTTTTAAGCCATTGGGTCCAGGACTCAAACCACGGTCCACTACAGGGGAGTCCAGTGACATAGCCATTACACTAACTGCTGGTCCTCTTTTTTTTTTTCTTTTTAGAGTTATTTTATTTGGGGCTAGCAGGTAGTGTGGTGGTTAGGGGTGCTGGACTCCCACAGGGCCGACTACGGTTCAAGTCCCAGACCTGGCAGCACGCTTTCTCACTTCCCTCTCCCTCCCTCTCTCATTCTGTCCATCTCTTGTCAAATAAAATAAATAAAGCGAAATAAAATAATTTTTAAATTTAACTATTTATTTAAATAATTTTATTATTTATTTAACATTTAATATTAAACATCAAATTTTTAATAAACATTAAATTATATTATTAAATAATTAATTAATTCAATATTAACATTAATAACATTGTATAAATATTTTATATTTATCTTATTAATAAATGTATTTTAGATTTTATTAATTATTTATTTTAAATATTTTCAACAATTAATTAGACCAGAGAGGGACAGAAAGAGCGAGAAAGCGAAAGAGAGGGAAGTGAGAAAGCAAGCTGCCAGGTACGGAACTCAAACTGCAGTCAGTCATTTGAAAGTCCAGTGCCCTCGACCACCATGCCACTTGCTGGCCCCTGTATTTTACTTTCAACTAATATTACTGCCCCAGTCAGGTAACCCCACAAGCTGACTCTCACATTTTCTTTGGCTTGGCGATGTCCTCCTCCCATGTTTCTTAAACTTGCCAAATATAGTTTTTCCAGGTTCTGTATTTTCTGAATTTGTGATTCTTCCCATTCTGCCCTTAGCTCTTCGGCCAAACGAGTAAACTGTTGGTTTCTTCTCTGTTTTATCTCTTCTCTTATCTGTAAGGCAATATCCTTTTCTTGTTCTCGAACCTAGAGTATTTAACACATTATATGAAAACAGGTTTAATGAAACTTTTTCAAAAAGCTGTTTGAAAACAGGAACTCAAATAAATTCTCCTTAGGTCTAGCAACTGTCCTTATCACTTGTGCTACGTAAGACTATGCTAGCTGGGAAATCCAACCAATGTAGAAAAAATTAAAATCTCGAGGCTTTCTAAACTTACCTAACTTTTATCTTTTCCTTCCCAAAGACTTAATGGGACTGACATTATTCCTCTGCACCTTTAAGGCTGAAATGATAAGCATGCTTCAACAACACTTACAGTCAGACAGAGCCATCCGAGAACTCCATTTCTGTGTTATATCATTCTTCATTCTAGATAGAATGCTTCACAATGACCAAACTATCTTACTCCAAAAAGACTAATTAAAAAATGGATAATCTACCACTTTCTAATAAATTTGTCTCAGCACGCAATAATCTTCCAATAAGTCTGCTTTAAAATCATTCTAAGCTTCCTTAATTACAGAACATTTTAAAAATAACATTTAAAGAACCACTTTTTCCAATAATTATTGAGTCAAATAACTACCCTCAAATTCTTCTACCACCCGTTTACCACCTCAGTCTATTTTCCAAATGTTCCAAAACTAGTTTACATGCAAGAGGGCCCCTGTACAGCCAGGACAGGTGTTAAATGTAACATTTTGTTTAGGATATTCTAATGGAACAAAATACAAATAACGTGGGAAGGCGAAGAATTTAAAACTTTATTCCAAGTAAAATCATACCTGTAGCAATCGTAGTTTTCGTCGTCTTTCATAATCTTCTTTCAAAATACAGGCTTCCTCATTAGGACTCAATCTCAGCTTGCTAGTTTTTACTACCTTTCTTTTCATTTCTACGTACTTTAATTTTAAAGATTCTGAATTTTAAAAAGAGAACAAAAAATATTTATAAACATATACATTACTAAAATAGCGCAGAAGATTAGGGGAAAAAACTAAATTCTTATTAATACTTTTTTACACTTAAAGAGCTATGTATATGCAAGTAAAGTAATTTTAATAAATAGTCAAATTTACAAAGAGCCATTATAAACCTTGTGATAACACTCAGACTGATGGGAAAAAGGGGATGTGAACAATTGACCAGAATTACTTGGGGAAGTTGTTTACCTGGATGATCTGGAGCCTGACAGGCATTTCCAGAGTTATTTAAATGTAAAAAAGCACAAGGGACCCAGCAGATGGCATAGCAGTTACATTGCTGAGTCCCAGATGGCCAACCACTGTTCGAGTCTCAGACCTCATGGCTTAAACACACTTGGGCATGTGTGCCCAAGATCCTGGGAAGAGAATGGAGGAGAAGGAATTGTAGCAAGGCCACCCCCATGCAGGGTGATTTCTCAATTTCCCTCCCACCGTGTCTCTTTCTCTAGCAAGTGTACATGCCCAAAGGCAAAAACCTCTTTAAAAAAACAACAACAAAAAAACGCACAAGAACTTAAAAAGATGTGCTAACAAAGAACAGATGTTTCCATGGGGGCAGCAGGTGGTGTGTGAGGTTAAGATGCTGGACCCTCATATGGCAGATCACAGTTCTAGTCCTGGACCCAGAGGCTTGAAAATCACATTGGGCGCATGTGAGTGTGTGTTCAAAATCCTGAGATGAGAATGGAGGAGAAAGGATAGTGGCATGGCTATCCCCACCACTGAGAGATGGTTTCTTACTTTCCTGCTCTCTTTCTTTGGTGAGAACACGCACTCTATGGCAAAAACCTAAAGAAAAAAAAAAGATTTCATAACTTCAATTTAATACTTTAGAACGTAGATGAATTGTTCATAACCAGAAAGACTGCTATTTCAAGGGCACCTGGCCCCTTGATTCAACCCTAGTCTCTGTTATACAATGTTATCACCAAGCACAGACCCCATTGCTATACTGTACAATAAATAACTCTTCAATAATTATTATGATGCAATTTCTTTCAATGAATGCCTATATAAAAATCTCTTCTAAAATAATTCTGTCTGGATGTGTCAAGTGTTTAGATTCCCAAATCTATTCTTCTATTGCTACTGTTCACTCTCCTCTTTGGATTATTAGCATGCTTCTATTTGGGGGAGTGTGTTGGGAAGAAATGAAAAGAATCTGTAGTTTCTGTAATTTGAAAACCTTCTTTAAGTAATTCTGATATCAACTTGTCCCCATTATAGCCATTTCCAAAAATCATAGTTAGCATCAGTATACAACCATGAGTTTATCTGAGACAAGCCAACATTTCTCAGGTCTCACAATGACTAAGCAGGCCAACTGTATTATTACTGGAAACTTAACATCTTTCTGAAGCTGCCTTAAGCTCCACTTCCTCCATGAAGCTGTCCTCTAATTCCTGACCCACTCACTCACCCATTCCTGACTTGCCCCTCCTATAATGCATATTACCTATATATTCATAGAGAATTGATTTCATATTGTCTCTATATTAACCTCTTTTAGTTTTTCATCAATGACAATTTGCCTTTTCTAGCTAGATTCCTAACAATTGAAAAATGATGACTATTAGAGCCAGCAGGTGGTGTGCTGGACTCCCACATGGTAGACTATGGTGCAAGGCCCAGACTTGGACATCTGAAAATCATGCTGGGTTCATGTGTGTGCATGCCCAAAATCCCAGGAAGAGAATGAAAGACAAGGCATTGACTGTGGAAGGGCCATCCCCCTTAGGGGATGATTTTTCACTTTTTGTTTCTCTGTCCAGTGAGGAGTATACATTCCCAGTGACAAAAAAGAAAGAAAGACAGAAAGGAAAAAAAAAAATGATGAGCATGGTTTTAAAAGATTTGAGTATTCAGGGTCGGCCCATGGCCTAGTGGTTAATGAAACCAGATCACACATAGTGAACTGCAGTTCAAATCCCAGCACTGGTGGATTGAAAACCATGCTAGGGATGGGTCTATGTGAATGCCCCAAATCCCAACAGGATGGAGAAATGGTCAGAGGACTGTGGTGTGACCATGACCCACTGAGGTGTACTTTCTCCCTCTTCTCTCCGGTGAGCACAGGCATCCTCCGGAAAATTGAAAAAAAAAAAAAAATTAGCATTCAAATAAATAAATAACAAATACCAGGCAGTGTTTCACACACGAGGGATGGATAATGTATCAGGGATGGATAATGTATTCTTTTTAATGTATAAAAAGGATGGGGGATAGGCTCATTTGTTGTCCCCTCCTAGTCACAAAGATGTTATTAGAGAAAATGCCTGTGTAAGAGAAACTGAACAGAGAGCTGGTAAAGAGCTAGAAGCACCTCAGACCCCAGTGCAAGTGTGACGTGGGGTGGAGGAAGGAGAGAAAAATGAGTAAGGATCTCTTAGTTGGCAGGGTAAGATCTTTGGGAGTCTCTCTCAGACAGTCCTGCCTGTCACTTAGTTATAGGCTCGAAGCAGCCATGGAAGTGTGGCTTCCATGTTAGTGGATTTCAGAACACAGGGGAGGAAGTTATAGTCTCATGACTGCCAAGTTTCTTCTATCTTCTCTAATCTGGGGCAGTACCTTGATCTTTCTTCTCAAGACCCTGATTATTTCTGAAATGTTCTGGTGAGCTATTTTATTGAATGTCCCTCAACTTGGGTTTGTCTAAACTTTTGGAAAGAACACAAAAATGATGCTGAACCCTGTTGGGGGCATCCAATCGGGAGGTAACTGATGTCCACACATCTTAGTAGTGGTGATGTGAATTTCCATCACTTGGTTAAAATGGTATCTATTGGGTTTCTCTACATAATTATTACTTTGCCCTGTAAGTATCTGATAGGGAAACAGCTGGATTACATAACCTATCATGTTTCTCATTATATTTTTGCCCATTAGGTTGAGTACCTATTGATGATTGCCATCAGACTTAATTATTAAAAAGTCGACCAAATATTTCTTTTTTTAAGAATGATTTTATTTTATTTGTTATTATTTCAAAATTTGCTATAGGGCACATTTGTTCACCAGAAAGAGACAGAGAGAGAGGGGGAGAGAGGGGGGGAGAGGGGAGAGAGAGAGAGAAAGAAAGTGAGAAAGCAAGCTGCCAGGTCCAGGACTCAAACCGCAGACCAGCACCTTAACCACCATACCACTTGCTGGCCCCGACCAAATGTTACTTTCTACTTCCGCTATTCTTAAATGATCAATTAGAATTCCACTGTAGGGAACTTTTCCCTGCTCCTCCAGTTACCTTTTTATTAAATTATTTATTCCTATCAATATGGGTTTATCTTGACAAGATTTGGTCTTGAGGATTAAATGGTACTTGGCACATGATAATCACAAAATTAATTCTAGACTTAGAAGATGTGAGTTTAAGACCCAACACTGCACTACTTATTAGCAGGAACACACTGGCCGCGTCACTCGGGTCACCTTGATCTCATTTTCTTAATCTGTATAAGAATGACAATATCTATTCCAGCAGATTGTCTGGTTACGTGACTTAATCAATGTGAAATTGTCAAATACGCTCTAAGTATTAAAGACTCAAACATTTGCCACTGCTTTAAAAGCTGGGTTCGTGATAACATTTAAACACCTGAGAAATGAAAGGCTGTAGACATCGAAAGAGAAGGTGCTCTTTGCATGAAACGACTACATGTAATGCTCTTAAACCGCCATCAGTTTCAGGACTTGTCCACGAGTGGCCTAGAGGAAGCGTTTGCAGCTGCTGCAGCGGAGGCCCGGCCGCCCGAGCCTGGATGCTCAGGGCATCTACGCATAGGGAAGGCTGCAGGAAAGGCCTGCGCGACCCAACCCGGGGAGGGCGAGCAACGGGCTGCGGCGCAGGCTCTCGCACGAGGCCGGAGGGTCGGGTCCGGCCATACCTCCTGTCCAGGAACTCCTTGCAGCCGCCGGCCCGACCGCAGCTGGGGCCCGAGAACCCGAGCCACTACTTCACAACGCGGCCCCTTTTCGCAGCCCTTACTTTGGACACACCCAGGCCCTGGAGTGCGGAGGGGACGCCGGCGCGCCCGCACTCACCTGAGAACCCCGAGTCGGAAGTCCAGAGCCGCAGCTCGGAGGAAACCAGCCTCAGCAGCCGCCGCAGCTCAGCCTCCAGACGGCCGTTTATGCGCCTGCGGGGCTGCCATCGCCGAGCTCCCGTCACTTCCGGCATTCAAACCGCCCGCCAATGGCGGGACCAAACCGCGGGAACCCGCCTAGTCCCGCCTTCCCCGGGGGCTGCCGGGAAGGCTGCGCCCGCATTAAGGTCCCTAGTCCCGCTCCCCGCGCACGCGCACAAGCGCGCACGCGCTACGTAGAGGTTCATTATTTCTCACACCTGTAGCGGCTTTCTAGTCGTACTCCCTCTTTGTCAGCGTGCCTCTTTTACAGATCTGGAGGCGAAGGTCCAGAAAGGACAAGATATTTGCCCAGAGCCATAGAACCACAGGGTGACTTTTGTCTTAAGGTCACGGCACGAAGGCGTCTTGGGCTTTGCATCCTTTTCTGTATCGACTGCACGATTCCCTGGTACTACTATGGGCGGTTGGTTTGTGACAGTTCTTCCCCAGCTCTCAACAGCAGTGAGCCATATCATGTTACCCTGCGCCTCCAGGGACCCGAGACACTAGACTATGTCACACATTTATCTGCTGCAAATAACCTATAATCAGAGATGGACGGAGGGAGGGAACACGTTCTTATTTCTTGGGCATCTGTTGTGTGCCAAGTATAGTGTGCCAGGTGCGGACGAGACAAGTAAATGGCTTATGACCGCTAACCTAGATTTTGCAGCCTACGGGTTAAACAACAGAAATGAAAGAGTTATAAAGTGGAAGTTGGGGTGGTTAGTTGCTGTTGTGATCAGATCTGGCTGCACGGTGAAGTCAGAGGATAGAAGGCCCAGAAATCAACTAGGATACCACACAAGAAAGTGAGACAACAATAATGAAAACGGAGAAGTGGGTGGACTGAAGAGGAGTTGGTTACTTGGTTAAGGGAGGTAAAGGAGAGACCAGCAGATGGCGTAATGGTTATGTCCCTGGACTCCCACGCAGTTGATGCAGCTTAAAACTCACCAGGGCTCTCGCATGTGCGTGTGTGTGTGCACTGAAGATCCCTAGAGGAGACTGGAGAAGAGATCGCGGCATGGCCATTCCCACCTGGGGGGCGATTTCTGTCTCTTTCTCGCTGTCGCGCCCACGCCCACGTGCCCTGTAGCAAAAATGTCTCTCTCCCTCTCTCAAAAAAAAAAAAAAAAAAAGGAAGAAAGAAAAGAAAAGAAAAAGAAAGAAAAAAGATGTGGGAGGCAAAGGAGGGAAAAATCAAAGATGATGTTCAAATTGCAGACTGAGAACTAAGTGAGTGGAGATACTCTATCTCTGTAGAACACCTGGGAAAAGGAGCAGGATTAGGAGGAGGGAGTAATGGGTTAAACTGAGAATATTTTGGATTTGAGCTGTTTAAGGCATTTCTAGACAAAGGGATGAATTCTAGAAATATTTAGAATGCAAAATTAGCAATATTTGACAATTGCATATGAGGTTGAGGAAAAAGGAAGAGTGATGTTAGTCTCAAAAGTCACTAGCTTGGGACCAGCAGTTAGTGTAATGGCTATGTCGCTGGACTCCCACGTAGTCGACCACAGTTCGCATCCCAGACCCGGTGGCTTAAAACTCATGCAGGGTGCGTTTGCATGCTTGCCCAAGATCCCCAGAGGAGAATGTAGGAGAAGTGGTTGCGGCGTGGCCATCCCCCCTGGGGGGGTGATTTCTCACTTTCTGTCTCTCTGTCTCTCCCAGTCTGTCTGGCAAGTGCACGCGCCCTATAGCAAAAACCTCTCAAAAAAAAAGAAGTCACTAGCTTGACAAGCAATTTTAATTCTCTAGACAGAAGTCACCAGTGATAGTTAAGTGGGCAAGGTGATAGGTCAGCTCTGCACATATCCAGTGTCATATGCCTGTGGAATATTTGGTGATGTGCAATAGCAGATGAGTAGGTTGGTAGACAGTCCAGAGATAGCAGTGGGCTAAGCATACAGGAATCTCATTGTGTGAGGGGTGGGTGAAATCACTTAGGGAGAATCTGCAGAACGAGAAGAACAATGAACTAACGGGGAAACCCTGAGGAACACCAGCAAAGGGAGAGAGTTGGAGAAAGGAACTGTCAAGTACATGAAGAAGAAGTAGTGTAACTCCACCTGGGATTTACAGACCAAGAAACTGAATTATGGAGAGGTTCACTGACTTGGTCAAGAGCTCATGCAAGTGAAGGATGGGATCAGGCCTAGAATGCATGTCCCCACCCCAAATATTAGGGTTCTTCTTCCCATGTCTTCTCACATTTGTCTTGATGAAAAATTGTATTCATTTAAAACATAGTCTTCGGTATCCTCAACATAGATTCAGAGATACCCTTCCAAATTCAACCAAAAAAAGTGCCTATTATTTCATGCCTTGAGCTTGGTTTGGTGCCTGCTGTGGGTTCCAAAAGCTCCCTGCACATTTCCTATTATGGCACTTACGAGTTCTTATTGAAATGAGCTGTGAATGGGCCTATCTAGTGATTAGGGGCTAAGTTCCTTGAGAACCACAAACGCACAGTATCTAGTTTATGGCTGAATGAATGGACAAATTAATTGCTCCACCTGCATCCTGGGCAGAAATTCTACAATTGGAGATTTTGAATCAAGGCTTCTTCCAGTTTTAATAGGAGGCAGTAAGACCCAATTTTTAAAAAAGAATTATGTATTTATTTAATTCCATTTCTTCTTCTTATTTTTTTATTTGACCAGAGACAGACAGAGAGAAAGGGAAAGTGAGAAAGCAAGCTGCCAGATCTGGAACTTGAACCATGATTTGCTATGTGGAAATCCAGTACCAAGCCATCTGCCAGGCCTTGCCCCATGGGTTTTGAGTGGGAGCATCTGATTTAGCTTCACAGCCATGATCTCTCCTAGCTGTGGGACCTTAAACCAATGAGTCTTAGTTTCTTTTTTTTTTTATGTTTATGTATTTATTTTCTGTGTGTGTGTGTGTGTGTGTGTGTGTGTGTGTGAAACAGAAAGAGACAGAGACAGTTACTCTCATCAGTCTTCATGCCGTGATCCTCCCCGACCCCTGCTGCCAGTCAGATTACAGACATGACAACATGTCCATGTAGACCCAGGATGTGAGCGTGGAGCCTTTCCTTATAGCCTCAAGCATTGGGCAGCACCCTATGCTGCACCACCATGACTAAAACCCTAGTCTTTGTTCAGGGTCTCTAGTGCTGCCAACCAAACCACCGTGAAATGGCTCACTCACCATGGTTGCCAGTTGATGTTGACTGGCAGCTGAGAGCCACCTGGAACTGTGGAGTTTAGCACCCACGTGAGGCCTCTCCATGAAAAACCTCTCAAAAAAAAAGAAGTCACTAGCTTGACAAGCAATTTTAATTCTCTAGACAGAAGTCACCAGTGATAGTTAAGTGGGCAAGGTGATAGGTCAGCTCTGCACATATCCAGTGTCATATGCCTGTGGAATATTTGGTGATGTGCAATAGCAGATGAGTAGGTTGGTAGACAGTCCAGAGATAGCAGTGGGCTAAGCATACAGGAATCTCATTGTGTGAGGGGTGGGTGAAATCACTTAGGGAGAATCTGCAGAACGAGAAGAACAATGAACTAACGGGGAAACCCTGAGGAACACCAGCAAAGGGAGAGAGTTGGAGAAAGGAACTGTCAAGTACATGAAGAAGAAGTAGTGTAACTCCACCTGGGATTTACAGACCAAGAAACTGAATTATGGAGAGGTTCACTGACTTGGTCAAGAGCTCATGCAAGTGAAGGATGGGATCAGGCCTAGAATGCATGTCCCCACCCCAAATATTAGGGTTCTTCTTCCCATGTCTTCTCACATTTGTCTTGATGAAAAATTGTATTCATTTAAAACATAGTCTTCGGTATCCTCAACATAGATTCAGAGATACCCTTCCAAATTCAACCAAAAAAAGTGCCTATTATTTCATGCCTTGAGCTTGGTTTGGTGCCTGCTGTGGGTTCCAAAAGCTCCCTGCACATTTCCTATTATGGCACTTACGAGTTCTTATTGAAATGAGCTGTGAATGGGCCTATCTAGTGATTAGGGGCTAAGTTCCTTGAGAACCACAAACGCACAGTATCTAGTTTATGGCTGAATGAATGGACAAATTAATTGCTCCACCTGCATCCTGGGCAGAAATTCTACAATTGGAGATTTTGAATCAAGGCTTCTTCCAGTTTTAATAGGAGGCAGTAAGACCCAATTTTTAAAAAAGAATTATGTATTTATTTAATTCCATTTCTTCTTCTTATTTTTTTATTTGACCAGAGACAGACAGAGAGAAAGGGAAAGTGAGAAAGCAAGCTGCCAGATCTGGAACTTGAACCATGATTTGCTATGTGGAAATCCAGTACCAAGCCATCTGCCAGGCCTTGCCCCATGGGTTTTGAGTGGGAGCATCTGATTTAGCTTCACAGCCATGATCTCTCCTAGCTGTGGGACCTTAAACCAATGAGTCTTAGTTTCTTTTTTTTTTTATGTTTATGTATTTATTTTCTGTGTGTGTGTGTGTGTGTGTGTGTGTGTGTGTGTGTGAAACAGAATGAGACAGAGACAGTTACTCTCATCAGTCTTCATGCCGTGATCCTCCCCGACCCCTGCTGCCAGTCAGATTACAGACATGACAACATGTCCATGTAGACCCAGGATGTGAGCGTGGAGCCTTTCCTTATAGCCTCCAGCATTGGGCAGCACCCTATGCTGCACCACCATGACTAAAACCCTAGTCTTTGTTCAGGGTCTCTAGTGCTGCCAACCAAACCACCGTGAAATGGCTCACTCACCATGGTTGCCAGTTGATGTTGACTGTCAGCTGAGAGCCACCTGGAACTGTTGAGTTTAGCACCCACGTGAGGCCTCTCCATGTGGATTGAACATCTCGCTCCATGGCGGCTGGGTCTTGAGAGGGAGAGTCCTAAAAGTGAGCATTCCTGGAGAATGAAAGTGGACACTACAAGTCCTTCTAAGGGTGAAACTGAAAAGAATAGTGGTAAGTTCTGCTACATGTTATGGGTTAACACTCATAGCCCAGATTCAAGGAAAGGGGAAATGAGCTGTGGCTCTCAATGGAAGGAG